TTTTGACATAGCAATGGATAACAGAGGAGTACACCACCCCAACCTGCAAGTCTTGCCAGACTCCACCCCTAGGAATACTCTCCTTGCTGTTTCTGGAATGGCCTCCTCACATTACTAGGGACCCTGACCAACCATTAAGAGAACTCCCAAACCCCACGTCATCATATGTTTTTTTTAAATGATCCTTTCTGAAACTCTTCTAGTGTATTTGTTTACTGGACAAAAGTGTCCTAAGGGCTGGAACTGGATCTGTCTCTGTCACACCGCTAGGTGTGAGAGGCCTGACATACACAAGAGACTCAGTAAAGATTTGCTGCGTGAATGAACAAGCTCATGGTGGTGCAAAACTGCCCAGCTTCAGGCCTTCTTCCCCGCTGCAAGCCCCCTGTCTGACCCTCTGGGCGGTATCCTTCCCCAGGCTGCAAAGCCAAGTAAACCTAATCTTAGATAATTTCTACACTTATGGCCCCATTCAAGTTCAGTATTTGTAAATTAAAACTTCCTGGAAACCTTTCGGATGCCACACATTTCCAGTGGGGGCCTTCTCTAGCTCAGGGACATCATGGCTGGCCCTTGGGCAGGCAGCCTGGCACAGATGCCGGAAGAACGAGGGAGTAGCCTGCAGGGAGGGGTGGGACCAATTGGAGCAGTGACTGGGAATGAGGCCAAATGCAGAAGGAGGGTGAGGGAGGTTTCTAGGATGCCGTGGGAGGAGACAGCTTTTCCTTCTCCAATAAGCCCCTGAGAATGATGCTAATTGTCACTGTAGGTATGTGGCACATAGATGTCTGTGAAGCGAGGAGGGAGCTCTTGGGCTGTGGCACAGGACAGCCTAATGCATGCGTAAAGGCAGAGCTTTTGAGTTCCCTAAGCCAGCAAGTACTCCCTGCAAATTGGCACTTTCCGCCCAAGCCTTTGCTCTTGCTGTGCAGCTGAGGTAATAATCACCCGTGCTGTGGGACAGGCACACTTAACAGGCGGGAGCCCTGCCCTGCACAAAGCCCTCTTCGGTGAAAAAAATGTATATATCATCAGATAAAAAAGAAAACTGTTTAAGCTTAAAAATTCAAAACGAGGCAGTTGGCTCCAGTTGCCGAAATGTCTTATAAAGCAACAGCAAAATGAAAAAAGTAAAATAAAAATAAAAAATAAACTCCTAGAGAATTGAGAGGAGGCCAAAAATATTAATACACGGGAACATGGAGAACCTGGTGCACACTGTAAATATTTTCTTAGTTTTCCATGCATCACCAGCGAGCATCATAATCCTTTTATCTCTCATCACCTTTCCTGTTTGAAATCTGTGCTGGAGAACAATTTCACCAAGGGAGAAAAAAGTATTAAAAGATGAAATTGTCTGCCAGAGGCCTGCGAATTTTCTGTTTCAAATATCAGACGGAAGAGGTGTCGACCCTTATGAACAGATTGAAGGAAAGAATGCAGAAATCAAAGCAAAAGCAGGACTCAGCACTACAATGCCCCATGACCTGTGAGTGCGAGTTTTACGGAGCATGGCAGGGGTGCCGGTGAGGAAGTCCGTGGACTTTGCGTTTGGGCAGAGAAGGACAAAGTGCCCAGTGAATTTGAATGTTAGATAAACAAGTGACTTAGAAGTGGAGCTGAGATGTGCATCCTGTGACGATCAAATGTGCTTGAACATCTCGTGTGTTGATTTGCAGACCCCTGGCCCCCTGCTGGCTATGGGAGGAAGTTCCACACTAGGGAGGGGAGCACCTGGTGGTCCTCCAGGAGAAGGCTGGTGAGGACCACTCGGATTGGACAAGACCAATCTGCCTGCCACTCAGTAGGTTGATCAAGTCCTAGGCCCATTGCTCAGAGCAGAAGCATCAGGGAGGACCAGGAGGTGTGTATTGCAAGGTGTTCTGTCCTCTGTGGGCTTCAGCTGCCCAAAAGCAGTGCAATGACATGCAGCAGGTCCTGGTACATCACTGAGTGATAGGGAAGACTCAGTCTCTTACAGGTTCCATCCTGAAAACAGCCAGCCTGAGCTTCTTCCTTGATTCTCCTTTGCCATGTAGGATTGATATGGCAAGGGAGTTTAAGGAGGTAGGCACTCACAAGAAAACCAAAAAGGCAGGAACAAACAAAGCTTTATTAAGCCAGCTGACGGCCAGTCTCTCTCCAGGAGCCAGAGAAGATGTCCACCCCGATCTGGGTCTCACTTCAGTTTAAGTACATTTTAGGTTTCCATAGTAACCATTACCTCATTTTTGGGAATCTCACAAGAATGTCACACAATTATCACAAAGTTTACTCCTCCCAGAAGCTGCTGGACAGCCGGATTCCAGATGACCATCGCAGTTTCACTTTTAGCCTACCTCCCAATTTGTCCTGTTTGTTCTGTTCCCATTTTATGACTCAGCTCTCCTTTAAGTGGGCTGATAACTAACCAAGGGGAGGGGGTGAAGAGCGGGGTCAACTACAGCTTAAGTGCACTTAAGTGACTTCTCTTAACATGGAGTTAAAAAAAGAAAATGAATCTGTCTTAGTATATCAAGGTCAGCCGTGTGACAGTTACCAAGAAAGAGGAGCCCTGGGTGGGTTAAAAGAACCAAAAATGTTGAGTGCCTCTTTCTTAGGGCACCTTCACTGAGGAGGAGAGCTCAGCCTCTGAGGACAGGAAAGGGTGGCTCCGGCTCCTCTACACTGACCATAGCAAGCACCAGCCACCAGCCGTCCACAGTCTCTTCTTCAACCCTGACGTCCTTAAGGAACAAGACCCGGCCCCACCCAAACTCGCATTTCCACCTCTCACACCAAACCTAAGCCTTCACACCTTGGGCTGAGAAGCCAGAAAACAGCACGGCCTCCACCAGCTGCACCCAGCACCACACAGAGCTCAGTGCAGTTGCTCCTGGCAGCTCCTGACATCCCCACAAGTTGGTGGTATGATCATGGTCTCCTTTTACCAGTGCAGAAATGAGGACTTGGAGAGGGCAGGCAACTTGCCTGAGGTCCCTCACAACACTGTCAGGACCTGAGTGCCCATCAGATCCCCAAAGCTGCACACTTGACCACAGCACTCTCCCCACTTCTGGTCCTGGATGCAGCCCCCAGCATAGATATCTGTGCAGATATCTCTGAGGACAATAGACAGGACTGACACCTTCATGCATCCTTCAAAGCACAGCTCACTCCTCACCTCCTCTGCACTTCTCTGTCTCATCTGGGGTTCACCTGAGTCACATACATGCCTTACTGTCACTTCACAAACTGGGCTGCATTACCATCTGTTTGCATTGACACCTCTGTCTGTACTAGAGCCAACTGCTGCAAGACAGAGATCTTGCCCTTTCCACTTCCAGAGAACTCTCCCGCTGCCCCAGCCTCCAGTATGGTCCTCAGACACCCCACATCCCTCACTCCCTGGCATCTCAAGTGTCCCAAGTGCATTCGCTCACTTGCTCCATTATCTGTCCCCCACTCTGGGTGGTGGATCCTTGTACTCCAGCTCTGCTCTGTGCCTAGCGCTTAACTGGCATCAGACACATCAAGGAGCCCAACAAGCACCTGCAGAATGAATGACCCTCAGTGTCGGGCAGAGACAGACCTTCAGTAAGCGAATTTATTCTCAGTTAATCATTTTAGCAGAAATATGTTAGCAGCCTCCCAAGGGGGAGCAGAATTTGTCTCACTCCATGATGGATCTTTCTCTCTTCCTGGCAATCCACTTCTCTCCTCTCAGAGTGTCTTTCCTCCTGTCACAGCCAGGGTGACTTCGGAGACAAGGCCAAAAACAAAAGCCCAGCCCACCTGGAGACACGTCCACCCCGTAGCAGTTGGAGTCAGCCCACCGCTTTGCTGTTGGTTCAGCCTTAGACACAGACTAAACCATTCATTGACTGTTGATTGATCCAGCCCCTGCCTGGCCTGGCACTAATCTGTCAAAGTGGGTAGCTGGGAGGTCTGAGACTTGGGCTTTGCTAGGTCCTTTGAACAGCTAAGAAGAGCAGCTCACGGACCAGCATGAGAATCATCCTCAGAGGACACTCCCCCAATTGAGCCATCAGCAGTCACCACAGGGAGGCAGGAGTCTGCTGGTGGGGAGGGCAGGGGGACAGGCCTGGGACAGTCTGCACATCTGAGGTACTGAAACACCCTCTTGGCCCCGGGCCTTGTAGAGATCTGGGAGGTAACCCATCAAGGCGTACAGCCGCTGTTCCCTCGGCCCACTGAGGACTAGAAACTGCATGTCTTATGGCTACTTGGCCAGAAAACTGCCCCCTGCTCTGTGCAGTTGATCCCCTTGCTGACGTCTAAGGACCATTTTCCAGTCCTAGACCCATACCACTGTCCTCGGAGAGCTGACCACCAAACATTAGTCAGTGCTGATGGGCAGGAGACGAGAGCATGGGGTTCTGGGGTCTGGGGTGAGGCTGAACGTGAATTTCATTGCGGAATGGTTACAAAGAGTGGATGCTGACAGAAACGTGGGCCTGTGTTCTCCAAAAGACTTGTGCAGTCTCATAGGACAGAACACAACACTGTGCAGGAGCAGATGTGAGCCCACTGGGGGACTCACAGCCAGGGACCTCTGGAAAGTGACGCAGAGCAAAGAAGCAGCCACAAGCAAGACCATCTGGATGATTCGACCCACAGCAGTGGCCAGACTGCTGTCTGCACAGAGGTGTACACAGGGCGGAGGCCGGAAGGCGTCCACGGCCGCTGAAGGTGGCTGGAAATCTGCTTCCCAGTCTCTAGGCAGTGATGCTCTCTGCCTTGCTTCGCTAAGCTTTGTGCACTTGGGCATGTGTGCCCTGATAGGTATGCTTTGCTTCCATAGCAGGTTTAAATTGTAAAAGAGGTAAGGTGTCAGTTTCGAGGTCTCCCTCGGAGGGACAGGTGGGCAGGGTGACGGACCAAAGGCTCAGAGCAAGCAGAGGAAGCCAGGCCCGCCCACCAGGAAGGTTTGTCTGACCAGCCAGGGCCCAACGGCCCCACCCCCTCCAGGTGCACCAGGGCAGCCGCCTCCGCGTCTCAAGTTGCCTAGCAACCGTCTCGCTAGTGACTCGAGACACGCTGAGCCCAGACCCCAGGCGCGTTGGGCGTGAGGAGACCCCGGCCCCATGGCAGGGAAAATGATCAGCACCGAGGCGGCACAGCGCATGAACCTTGTGGCCCAGGACGAGATCTGGTAACGTCCCAGTGGCTAGGCTGCCCTTACCTGGAGGTTGCACCCCTGGCAGCCTCTGTTTCCCCAAGTCCAAGAGACAGTCGACGGCTGGGTGCTGGAAGGGTGCTCTGTGGACGGTCCAGGACCTTGAGGAAAGAGGGCAGCGTTAGGGGAACCCCGTCAACCCTGCTCTCTTTCTCCGCTTGCTTCCAAGCCCACCGCAAAGGCTAAACATTTTTGCCACAATCCTCATAGGTCTGTTTGTCACGGGCCACATAAGATGTTTTCTTAGTCTTCAGATTCACCAAAGTTTAAAAAAATTAACATTTGTTCAATTTGAAGGAGTCATATGTATGTACTTTAGTTCTCTATTGTCCTGGACTTTTATGTAATAACAAATTTTAAATTCAGAAACAGATCCTTTTTTCTAAAAGAGATGTTCAGCAGAACTTTGGGATGGATGTGCTTACCTGGCATCCTGTTGGATTACTGAATATTTTTTATTTCATTCTTTTGAAGCTCTAGCTAATATGAGAAGTTACTAATTTAGATGCAAGTTAAGTTTTAGGAACAACTCAATATAATTGCTTACCTTACTTCAGTTATCCTATTTAATATGTCTGCAATTTTATCATTTCCTTGTAACACCTTGATTAGTCACTTTATATTTGTGTTTAAATTGACTGTTTCACTTAATACATTTCTTTTTATAGCAAACTTTACATCACTCTCTTAAATGGAAAACCATCATTTAGCATAAAATATATAATTTGATCTTTAAAAAAAACACCTTTATCTTCATCCAGGTATCCTCAACAGGAAACACTTCCATAGCAAGATCTGTTTCCTCTTCCTGAACACCCTTTCCTCCTTTCTCCACCAGAGAAACTCCTACCCATCCTTCAAAACCCAAGTTAGACGGTCTGATCTCATGAACTGGAGCTGTAAAGCCTTAGACTTCAGAATCTAATGTCCAGCATGGCTGGTGAACACTTGAAATGTAACTGATCCAAATTGGGCCTACCTCTAAATGTAAAATATGCAACAGATTTCCAAGAGTCATACAAAAGAAGTACAGATGTTACTGGTTATTTTCCTTTCTTTTTGGTAGGGCTACTAGAAAATATATAATCATGCGTATGACTCGCATTTGTGGCTCATGTTACATCTCTATTAGGATACAGCTCGTGCCCGCTCAGAACCAGCCCATTTAATCTGAGTAGAAGCTACTGCTCAGCGCCCGAGAGCTTGATCGGAGGCTCCAAAGCTGTCCGGGTGGGGGAGGATGAGATATTTCTTGATGCCAAAATAGAAGGGACGTGAAAAACCGAGATGACTAAAGGTTTATTAGCTATTTGCGAGACGTGGCACACCAGTTTGTCAACAGCAGCTGACTCAGTTGGCCAGTAGCTACACAGGCATGAGGCAACAGCAGTGTCAGGGGAGGGCGGGGTGGGAGGCCCCTGGGTGCAGCAGCAGGAGGGACCGGATGTCACGGTCATGCTGTTGACACCTGAGGGGAAGAGGTGTACAGAATCACGTGGGTCACAGGGGCTCGAAAATAAGCATCAAGTGCCATTCACTACTGAGTCGGCCCCTGGGGCAGAGCCAGCCCCCTTCTGGTCTGCTGCTAGAGTGCCTTCCCCAGGGTCACAGCCACCAGCGCCCCTCCCGCCTCAGCCCAGAGGCTCCCCGCACGGTGCGAGGCACTCAGCCCCGGGCTCTGCGCTCCGGCTCCCAGCTTTGCCCGAGTGGAACTACAATCCCATCTCTGCGCACTTCGGATGCGAGACTTCCCGTCCTTGGACGGTTTTTAGCTCGAGCCTTCTTCAGATGTTGCCCAGCACTGGGGAACTTTCTTTCTCAGGAGATATCGTCTCAAGGCCGAATCTGAAGCACGGAAAAACTGGGCCCAGAACTGGGGATTTTTGACAACCCCCCTCGAGGAGGTAAATATAAATTTCATGAGCTCCACATTTATGGCGTCGGTGGTTTGAGACAATCAGTGTATCATTTGCCAGAATAAGACTCAGAGGGTGTGGTTGCCGAAGATCACTCTGAAGCCAGGTGCCCCCTTCCTCCCACAAGTGGCTGAGCGCTTGCCGTGGGGCCGGGCGCATGCTCAGTGCCCGCTCAGAACCAGCCCATTTAATCTGAGTAAAAGCCCATGTTACAGGTCAGGAAAAGGAGCTCAAAGAACATCAGTCACACAACCACGGGAGGACATGCTATGGTGAGAATCTGGTCAGTCTGGTTCCCTGGCTGCCTGAGCTCAGGCTTCCTATCTGTGAAATGGGCTAAGGGTCCCACCTGCCTAACTGCATAACCACATGGACTGGTGGAATAAGAAGGAGTGTGGGCCCCTATCAAGCTAGAGCCTAGGAGATCTGTGAAGGACTAATGGGAAGATGCTATGTGTATGGACAAAAGCAGGGTCCGGAAGTCTGCAGGGATCAGACAGGAGAAGGAGCCCAGAACAATTAACAGGGAGAGGGGACCATGCTGGCAGAGAGCATCTCCCTGTCCAAAGAGGCAGCCACCAGGAGTGCTACCACACAGGAAGGCCAATTACATATTCTAAATCTTTAGGAGACAGACAGGTCCCGCAACCCAGATGCCCGAATGAAATCTTCTGCACCTAGAATAAGTATCTCCAGTGTACGAAACCACCGTACAGACACTCGAACTGCCTGTGTGGGTTTCCGTGGGGTTGTAGCCACTTTGGGACGTCTCAAACTCCCTCTCCTTGACTGCAAGGAAGCCACACTCTCTGGGGGGCTGTGGCACTGAATAATGGGCTAATTCAAAACGTTCATGATTCAAGGTGACAGACGCTCCATCCGTAATCCGCCCCACCCCGCTAGCCTTGAAATTATGCCATGCTTAATGAGTTTTTTTAATTCGTAGAGAGTTACACAATTTTAAATTGTATGCATAAAATGAGACCTTATTAATATAATATGCATAAAATGAGTCCATATTAATATTCCTTATATGTAATTAAATTGGGTTTTCAAAGAGTTCGAAATGGCTTTAAACATTCAAAGGGGGTGTGGGGGCTCTCCTTTATGATCTGAAAGATTGGTCCTGGAACCTTGCTGGCACTTTTTAATTTGAGTCCATAACCTGTAGTGTTTTCTCGAGTCAGGACGCAGGGGATATAAATTAGTAGGCGGCAATGAGCCCTAGGAGGATAGCAGTTAATCGTGGCTTCAGGCTGAGTTGGCCGCAGGCAGGGCCCACTCTGCACTTTCTAGCAGTGTCGCTGGGGCAGATCTACCTAATGTTCTGAGCCCCTTTTGACACCTGCGCAGTGTGAGCTTTGGAGGGGATGCTGAAGAGCTCACATCCCCAGGCCGCACCCTCAGGGTCCCCGTCTCTGCATTCCATTTCAGTTGATCCAGGGTGAAGAACCTCGCACCCCAAAGCCAAAAATTGAGCTTCCTGAGCATTTCCGCATCCGGCCAGTGACCCCGGTGGAGAAATACATAAAGGTTAGAGAAGTCATATTTTAATTCTCATTTTTCTAAGATATGACCCCATGAAAAATTGGAATCCTGGCCAAGTATGGTGGCACACACCTGTAATCCCAGCACTAGGGAGGCTGAGGCAGGAGGATTGCCGTGAGTCTGAGGCCAGCCTGGACTACATAAGGAGACCCTGCCTCAAAAAAAAACTTGGAATCCTCCCAAACCCAAAAGTTAAGAACCCTGGGGTGAGCAGCACAGAGTCCTGAGTCCAGGCCTTTTCCAAGCCCAGACTTTGGAATCACATCAAGTGAGACATCTGCATACCTGCAGGAGCCATGGCCTCCTGCTCTGCAGTCAGAGGGAAGCCAGGGACCAGGGGAGGGGTGTCACCCATTCTCAAAGCAAATATGTGTAGTGGCTGAGCAGGAAAATAAGGCAGGTGAGGCTCTGGCTCGGGAATGAGACCTGAGCTCAAGTCCTGGTCTGCTGCTGACCTCCAGTGTGGTATAGGGCAAGTGGCTTGACCTTTCTGTGTCTCCATGTGCTCCTGGCACCGCTGTCCCTGGGTCAGTGGAGCATCTACTTTGATGAGTGATGTCAGGTCCCGCGAGATAAGGTGTGTGAAGGACTTGGAACGGGGCTAAGCATGTTCGAGGGTGCTGATACCGTCAGCCATCACCAGCATCCAGGTGCTTGGCTGGGCAAACTGATGCACAAGAAAGTGAGACCACAGCCCACATCTCTGGGCTCGGGAATTAACACTAAATGAGAACGTCTATAAAACTGTCACATGTGGTGCCCATGAAGAAGACGGGCAGGTGATGTGCTAGAGGAGAGCAGGATGGGATGGCCACGGCGGGCGTCCTGTGGAGATAGCCACTGAGCCAAGAGCCAAAGGGTGCCCAGGGCCGGCTCTGCGAGAAGCTTTCCAGGGAAAGGGAATACCACATCCGAAAGCCCTAAAACGGGAGAAAAGCTGGCATGTTCCAGGAGCAGCAGGTGATGGTGATGTCACTGCAGCTCAGTGAGCTGGGCTGGAGGTGGGGGCAGGGAAAGGGTGTGCATCGGGCACAGAGGGTGGGGCAGAGCCTGCTGGGCCTCAGGTGGGAAGGAGTTGGGACTCGAGTCTGTCTGCAGTGACGGCCACTGTTCTAGGCAGGGCTGTGGCAGAGCCTCTGTTGAAAGGTCAGTCTGGTTGCCAAGCAGAGAACAAATGACGGGGATAAAGGGTCAGAAGTGACCAGGCACCTCCACAGAAAACAGGTGTCTCCCAGAGGCACGCTCCCTGTGGACATGAGCCAGATGCCTCCGGACATCGTCAAGCTTTGTATGTCCCAGGGCTTCTTTTCATGAGACTGTCACTGGGTCTTCGGTTCTGCCTCTGCTGGCTACAGAGAAAGTTCTGCATGCTGATGGAGAGGGGGTAAAACCCCAGCACAAAGGAGCAGGGCCGAGGCTTTTGACTCTATGTGTTTCCCCTTCCCGAGCTGTCCTGGAGTCTGGGGTGTGACAGAGCAGCTGGCACACGGAGAACACTTGTCACTGTGTATCTCTGAGTAAGAGGAAGTAAGGAGGGAGCGGAGAAAAGAGGGAGGGAAGGACGGATAAGGGAGGGGCTTCGCTGAGAGCTGGTGAGGGTTTCTCTCCCCCTGATTACAAAGCAATAGAGAGTCATAATCTTTTTAAAAAGTGTTTAATGCTGGGCATTGTGGCACACGTTGATCATCCCAGCACTCCGGGAAACTGAGACGAGAGCATCACTGTTCCAAGCCTGGGTAACTTAGCAACTTAGAGACCCTGTCTCTAAACAAAAATTGTTGAAATGTGCTGGGGATGTAGCTCAATGTGAAGGCTCTGGGTTCAGTCCTTAGGACCACCAAAGAAGATGTGTGCGTGTGTGTGTGTGTGTGTGTGTGTGTGTGTAAAGGTAACTAGAACACCCACATGCACTGCACTCCTATCTATGGTGAACATTTTGGGGTGCCCTTTCCAGAGGTTTTCCTAGCACGTGGGTGACCACTTAATAAGCCCCAGGTCTTCACTAGAAGCTCTCAGTCTCTCACTGTCTTAGTTACTTCTCTCTGTGCTGAGACAAAATACCCAACACCCCAAATTAAGGGCGGAAAGGTTTATTTAGCTCACAGTTTGTAGAGGTTTCAGTCCTCCACCAGCTGGCTCCAAGGCAGGGTGGCTTCACAGAGGAGAGCAATTCATGGCTGGCAGAAGACAGCAAAAGCAATGAGAGAGAGAAACAGAGAGAGAGATGCCTCTTTCTGTCCCTTATATTGTATCCAGTCCACCAGGATTAGGCCAGTGCCAATCCAATCAGTGGACAGATCCAGCAATCGCCCACCCTTAATCCCAGCATCGCACTATGAATCATTCACACACTCTAGATCCAGCCACCTCCAAAGAAAAAGCTCTATGATTTCATGAGGTTTTGGGGGACATCTAGACACAAGCCATAGCATTCACTATGCTGAGTGTCTTACGTGGGCTGCTGCATCTCCTTCCACCTCCAGCTTCACAAGGTGGAGACTGTCACCATCAAGCTCAGTTTGCAGATGGAGAAGTTAAAGCTGATGAAGGCTGAAGGCCCCAACTCACACAGCAGATTTATCTGAGTTCTGCAATGGTATCCTTGACTACTCCCGGGACCTATGAGGGCAGCACTTACTTATATGTATACATAGATGTTTGAAAGTCAGACTATACAGGTTTCTTTGTAGCTCCCTGTTGTCACTTATCAGTGCATCCTGAATATCTTTCCTCGTAGTTACCAACTGTCTCAGGGTTCTTTGGCTCAATTTGGATGGAAATTGCTAACGGGCAACATGCAGCTCTGTGAGAAGCTGGTGTTAACAGCTCTGGTGTTGTAGTGCTGGTGACTCTGTCCTTAGAGTTACAGCCCTAAGCCTTGCATGCCAGCAGCTCTCCGCCCTCAGTGTTGCAGCTGTGGGCCTTGAGTGATTACAGCTGTCAGCAGCCAGAGCCTGCAGCACCTAGTATCTTCCTGTAAGTTTCCCAGAAGCCGAAGTAGCCACTTCCTGGAGCTCCTCCAGTGACAGTGCTGAGGCCGCAATCTCCGGAGCAGTGACAGGCAACAGTGATAATGACAGCACAGTCAGAGTCAGGGCTGGGGAGACAATAGTGGTAATCTTTCCCTGCCAGGCACAATGCTCTCTCTGGCCATCCCTCAGGGTAATGGTGATGTCACAGCCAAGCACTCAAATGGGGGCCTGACAGCTGTCAGTCAAGCTGCCAGGCCATGGGCACCTACTCTCACCAATCCTTGATGGCTTCAGCTGTTTAAAATGAAAAAACAGGAAAAGATATTTTTAAAACTATGATAGGAAGTGAAAACATGTGTATGACCTCCTGGGGGGCAGAGCACTTGGCTTGCTATGCATCCACTACAGAAACTAGAATCCTGATTCTTGAGTGAACCCAAAAGTCAATATAAAGTTAGCATCCTTTTCAATTCAATCCAACACTTGTTCTTGGCCAATGCTTTTGCAAAGAAAAAGGAAAAATATCCTTTGGGGAAGGTCCGGTCCTCCTAATCTGTCTCACTGCAGTAATTTATTTAACCGGTTCCCTATCCCTGGACATCCAGGTGGTTTCCAGTTTGAGATTTGGGAGAATAATATGCAAGGAACATCCTCATACACCACAGCATTTTGCTCTAGGTCAGTCATGGTCTTTGCATGTGTGCCTGGCGATGCTTGCGTTTGGGAAGCTGGTCCTCTGGACCAGAACAGTCAGTGCAGCTAGAAGACAACAAGAGAAGAGGGGATGAGAAGTGGGGCTGATAGTTTTTCAGGGCTGAGTTTGAATCCCATCAACTCCCCACCTTTGCCCCAGTAGAGAGCTCAGTGGCAAGGGACCCACCTCACGTCTGCTGTCTCTAGCACAAGCTGTCCCCACAGGGGCCTCCCTTTCTTCTGCTACAAATGGTCCCAGGGTCTGCTCAGTGGGCGGCAGCTGAGACCAGAGCTGTCCCTTTCAAAGGTTATCCCCCAGCCAGGCACAAGAGCAGAATACACTCCTGGTGACCTAGGGAAGCGCTGTATCCTCATTGTTGGCCAGTGTGCTGCACAGCAAGGGTCAGATGTTACGCCGTATGCACCAGCCAGTGCCAATAGGGACAACCGACTGGGGACAAGGACCTTGACAGAGGGGAGAAAGCCACTTAACCTCTGCCTTGCTCTACGCATCTATCTTCACTCAAGAAGTGGATTTGGTTTCCTTTGTCTCCCTTCTATTGCCTCATTGGGTGATGAGTCTTTAAAAATACCTTCCTGTGTGTATATGTGTGTGTTTATGTGTGCAGTACTAGGGATCGAACATGCTAGGCAAGTGCTCTACCATTAGGCTCCACCCCCAGCCCTTTTCATTTTACTTATTCATTCATTCACTTTTGAGACAAAGCCTCACTAAGTTGTACAGGCTGGCTCTGAACTTTCTATCCTCCTGCCTCAGCCTCCCAAGCGGTTGGGATTACAGGCCTGCACCACCACGCCCAGCTAAAATTATGTTCATTTTTAACTGATGATCTTAATACCCAGCAGAGTGTTCTATGAACAGCCCACACCCCTGCCCCACCACCAGGAAAAAGTGTCTGCATTTTCCCGAGATAGAGCACACACGGACATGCATGCAGTGGGCACCTTGCCCTGCTTTCTTATTACCCGACTTGGACCACGGTGTCCCTACTTTTCAGCACCTTTTGCCACTTAGAAGCTGATCCTGGAGGCTGTTTCTTCTTAGAACACAGAGCTTCCTCGTTCTTTGTACCTGCTGCACCTGCTCTGGAGTGTGGGAGTTGGATGAGTCCCATCAGTGGACTGCAGGCTCTGACGAGTCGTTTACTGTGGCCCACAGGAGTTGACGCGGTACAGATGTGTGCAGACGTTAGGATAGGATAGGATTCCGGTCAGGGGCAGGTCTTCGGGTTAAAGGCTGTTTGCAGGTGCAGTTTCTGCAGGTATCTGCGACATTGCTCGTACTCCGAGAGGCCCTGGTGAACAGTAGTATTTTCACCTTGTTGCCACTGGAGCCTGAGGTGTGACATCTCAGGGCGGTTTCCACTCTGGGTAGAGGCTGGAAAGTCAGCTTGTGTGTTTCCAAGGCCCTGCCAGGCAGGCAGCCATAAGGGTGGTTTCCCTTCTGCACGGCTCTGCACATAACTGGCACAAGGACGCTGCTCCCGACCTGCGGTCTCTCGGAGATTGGCTTTCGTGCCTCCCCATGAGCAGGTTAAGGGCCTTCATCGCCAAGTCAGAGCCGGCCTGCTGGACCCTTCCCTTCTGCCCACGCCAGCGGGGGAGTTCTGATAGGAATGGACTCCCGATCCCGGCACAGGAAATTGCTACCCCAGCTCTGTTTGCACTGATATTCCTTGCTGATGCCGCTGTTCAAATACTGTCCCCGGTCAGAAACGGGTTACTTTACAAGAAGAGAGAAAGGAAGGAAAGTTACCCTCCTTTTCGGAGAATTTCAAATCTGTCCAAGGAATTGACAAATGGAGCTATGCTTTTTCCTTTCAGACAGAAGCCTGTTTTCATTTTGATTGTTTAATTCAATTCAATTGCTTTGCATTCCTGTGGTCTCTACAGTTTAAAGTGTGCGTGTGTGTGTGTGTGCGTGTGCGTGTGTGTGTGTGTGTGTGTGTGCGAGACAGAGAGAGAGCGAGCCTTCTAATTAAAACAAGATTTAAACTGCCACAATACCGTCTAACAATATTGTCATATATTTTATAAAAGCCAGTAAGGCCTGCTGTATTTAATATTTCTGTACCCAACCTTTTTTACTTTTCTGTTTGCTCTCTTTTATGAAATAAAAATTAACTTACCTAGAGCTCCTGAATTAAATACGCTAAGCACTACAAGATAAAGAAACATGTCCCACGTTCATGACTTGGCTGAAAGACACAGCTTCGGGTGCCTGCCGCTGGAGCACATTTATTTTCAGGCCACACTGGTGACACTGGCTTTTCTTTCTGCCTTCTGCACACCTGGCCTTTTGTGCCAGTCCCGGGGACCTTCAGGGATGCTCCTTGTGGTGCTGTGGCCCCCGGTGACGAACGCCCCGTGTTTCCTCCCAGGTCCTGCCTTCGCCCCCGGTCCCACAGACGACCCAGGGCTTCATCGGCTGGCGGTCTGCGGTGCCAGGCCTCAACAAGTGCCTGGAACACGACAACGCCATCCGGAGCTGCAAAGGCGCCTACGCCCAGGGCCTCGGCTGGCCCAAGCAGGGCATCCACTGAGTCTCAGCCCAGCCAGGGAGCAGGGATCCCGGGTGCCTGCAGAGTGAGGGAGAACCCCCAGCCCACATCTCTGAGATCATAATCCCTGCATCTTCATCCAAGGATGCAGCAAAGAACACAAAGTTGGCCTTAAACCATCTGGCTCCATCCTTCTAAATGTCCATGTAGAGTAATGGTTCTTGACTCATGTAATGAAGAGAACAAAATAGATACCCTGATGTTGTCTGCTTGCTTTTCTTGGGAATTTCAAAGTATTACATGAATGTTGTTGTTGTCCTTATTTTGAGACAGGGTCTTGCTCTGTAATCCAGGCTGACCTTGAACTCACTGTGTTGTCCAGGCTGGCCTCGAATTTACAGTGATCCTCCTGCCTCAGCCTCCAGAGTGCTGTGATGACAGGCATGTCCCACCACACCCAGCTTGTATAGGTTTTTTAAAAATAGTAGTGATTTAATTTAATTTTTTTTTGTACCAGGAATCAAACTCAGGACCTTGCACTTGCCAGGCAGGCACTGTGCTACTGAGCTATATCCCCGGTCCCTTAGTTTTAGAAATATTGGTCTAGGTCTTCTTTTTTCAGTGCTGTAGACTAAACCCTGGTCCTGGCTTATGCCAGGTATCCCTGCTGCCCCCCTTGCTGAGACATTTACAGTAAGTCAGCAGTTTCCAGGGCAGAAACAAGCCCAAGATTTCCAGAAGGGCTTCCCCGGGGAGCTGAGCCCACCACCCTCCTGGCCTGCCCACGGCTCCCACCCTGGAGTAAGCAGTGCCAGGCTGGCCAACAAGTGCATTCCTGCCCCACACATCAACTTCTTGGTTAGCATGTTACATCCATCCCTGCCTAGCTCCACAGCTTTGCTCTTGGTCCTCAAATAAGGGGTGGGGAAGCGGGCATCCATGTGGCCAAAGGGAAAGAGCCAGCAGGTCCATAGGCCTCTTGGGACAGACCCCAAAATGTAGATGAGAGGGCAGTGGGTAGCAGCCTGGGGCAGCTGGCACAGGTCCATTTCTGAGAGCACAGGGTCAGTGCCTTCTTCAGACCTGGCACAGGCGGGGCAGCGGAGCCGCGCACAGTCCTCTACCCTCCACAGAGACACATGCTGTGGTTTTTTATTTGGTACCAGGAATTGAACTCAGGACCTTGCGCTCGCCAAGCAGGTGCTCATGCTGCTGAGCTATATCCCCGGCCCCCACATGCTGTGTTTCTCACCTTTCTATTGCTGGGACAAAATGCCTGACATATACAACTTAAAGGAGAAGCTTATTGGGGCTCATCGTTTGGGGGGTTATGATGGTTGACTGACTGTGGCAAACTGAGAAATTTAGTTAAACTTGACTAAATGGGCTCAGCAGTTTTGCCCCCCAGGGTGTAGGATGTATCTGACTCTTTCTTTGGAGGAGCTCCAGTCTTCACCTTCACCTTGGACATCACCTCCTGGCTTCCAGTGTAGGCTGTTCGGCTTCCGGCGCAGGTCCTTCGGCTTCCGGTGTGGACTCTTCAGCCTCCACGGCAGACTGATACGGACTCCCATGGGATGCTGCAGTGAGCTCCAGACCTTGGGCTGAATCCTCCATTCGCAGTGTGCAGACACCCTCTGCACGCGTCCTCATCCCACTGTCACAGGTAGCTTCCTCCTGTGGGAAGGCAGCCCTCCTTGTTGGCAGCGTGGACTCCTCCTCCACTTGGCCTCTATCTGGTGGGACTGATGAGGCCCATCCACACAAACATCTACTGTTCCCTTTTCTACCCAGCCACGGGTGGGCGTACTGCAGCTAGTGCAGCAGTCCCCTCTCTTAGGATTATACGAGGGCCTTGGGTCATCCATGGTCTTGCATACCAGCCTCAACTCCTCTGATCCGCCTCTAATGGCCCTCCATGACAGTTGGGGTAGCCAACACCATCCCCATGAGCTCTGGACTCAGAGCCTCCCAACCCCAGAAGCCCCAGCAGAGGAGCTTTTCCTACTCAGGGATGCTGTTCTTGGTAGAAATCTCCAGAATGTGCTTTGTAACCAGGCTTCTCACCTCTAAAGGGCAGCTGCCAACACTTTCAGAGCCAACCTCTTGGGGCAGAGGACAGGCCACAAATCAGAAGACTTCTCCCTGCCTCCTGGATGCGTCTGTGCCTCTCACCATCCTTCTTCCAGCCCTAGGGTGGGCAACTCATGTTTTCATGGGCTTCCCAGCCTGGAAGGGCCAACACACGAAGGAAAAGCTGTTTTGAGAGTCTTGTCACTACCTCTGACCATGCTCCTCACCTGCCACAGCTCCTTAGGTCTGAGCAAACAGAGCTCTATGGGTTGCGTAGCATCCCAAAAAAAGATCTGTTAAAGTCCTAGCCACCCAGATCTTGTGAATGTGACTGTGATGGTTAATTGTGACATAACTGGAATGGATTAAGAAATGCGTAGCACATTCATGGAGCACAGTTCTGGGTGTTCTGGATGATGGACAGGTAGGCCACAAACTGAAGAGGAAGCCCCACCCAGGATGTGGGCAGCGCCAGCAACAGGCTGATAGCTTAGATGGAATAAAAAGGGAAAGAAGTCAGCCTGCCCTTTTTGCCTCTCTAGAGGAGCTCCCATTTTCACCATCCACTGCCTTTGGACGTTTGTCTCCAGCTCCTCAGGCTTCCACTGCAGACTCTTCCGCCTCCCAGCGCAGACCCTTTGGCTTCCTGCCACAGACTCACACCAGACTGCAGGGAGCTCCAGGCCTGAGACCTCCAGCTGGATCCTCCAGCCCTCCAGCACACAGGCAGCCATTTTTCATTCTTCCTCCCCTTCCTCCACTGTGGCCATTTTAAGCCAATTTTGTAAATCCTTTATATATCATATATATATATATTCATATATTAAATCAGTTCCTCTAATGGACCCTAACTGATACGATGACCTTATCTAGAAATAAGGTCACTGCAGGAGTGACTAGTTAAATTGAGGTGAGGTCACCCTGGGCGTTTGATCCAGTATGACTGATATCCTTAGAAAAAACGGAGAAAGACACACACAGGCAGGAAACAGCTGTGATGACAGAGGCAGAAATCCGAGTGACATGTCTACAAGCCAAGGAATGCTAAAACTTGCCAGCAACCTATCGGAAGCTGGGAAGAGATGAGAGGGGATCCCACCCTGCCTGTTTCAGAAGGAACATGGTCCTGCCAACCTTGACTTCAGATTTCTGGAATCTTCCTGAGAGGTGAGAGGATAAATTTAAGCCGCCCAGTTTGTGTCACTTTGGTGCAGCAGCCCTAGAGAATAAATGGAGCCTGAACACATTTTGTCTCTTCCTCTCCCCTGACCCCCACACACACCTAGAAAACATCCTCCTCCAACCATGTGTCTTTCATTTTTCCTTACCCAGGCTGCCTTTGTGTGGGACCAGATCATGTGGCTCTTTTAACTCCAGAGATGTTTCCAGTAACCCAGATGTTTAGACCAATGTAGACTAAACAGCCGGATGCTTGGCCAGGCCCGTCCCTATTTGATCCTAATGTTTTGGCATCTGGGCCACCACTGTAGGCAAGGCATTTGCCCTTGAAGAAATGTGGGTCTCTTCTCGTGACCAGATGTCCCCACCAGAGTAGAGCAAAGTGGCCAGAAAGAGCATGGTGTGGCTGATCTCCAACTCAGCATCACAAGGATCACAGATCCCCCAGCAGGAGGCAGTTCACCTCGTGGTTGGGGACGGACCTCCAAAGGCAGGTGCTCTTTGTTCTCATTTTTGTTTTCAGTGCTGGGGATGGAACCCAGGAAGTCATGCATGCTAGGCAAGCACCCTACCATTGGGTTACACCTTCCCCAGTCCCACAAATGCATCTAGGAGTCCTCTTACCTGTTATCTGTGTGACCACAACAGCTGACAGCAAAAAGACACAGCAAAAAAAGGTGGACTCTGGATCTGTCCGGGTCCCAAGGCTAGACAGAAAGCCAGCAAGTCCGTTTAGTCTTCTGAAACATGCTGGTGAGCTGGCTTTAACTCTGATTCTAACTGACTGCTCTGTGTTGACTGACAGCTGGCTTTTAGTGAGACTTGTCAGCAGACATGGTTGTCAAGATGACCAGACGGGGATGATTGGGCCATACCATATGTGGACAGCTAAAACTTCAGCAAGACTGGACATCCTTTTTTTTTTTTTTTTTTTTTTTTTTTTTTTGGTTTTTCTCCGGTACCGGGAACTGAACTCACGACCTTGCGCTTGTCAGGCAGGCGCTTTTGCCGCTGAGCTAAATCCCCAGCCCCTAAGACTGGACATCCTGATGGCAGGCAAAGGTCTTTGGAACTGACCAGCCCTTCCTGTAGACCATACAGCAGCAGAGGAAGTAGGCATGGTGTATCTGAAGACAAACCTGTCCTTTGGACAGTCATCACACAAATACATTTAATTCTATAGGAAACAGCTGGACACACCTGTATTTCCAGCACTCTGGGAGCTGAGGCAGGAGGATCATGAATTGGAGCCCCACCCAGGGAACTTGGTGACTTTATGAGCCCCTGTAGCTAAATAAAATTTCTTTAAAGAGCTGCAGATGTAGCTCAGTGTGAAGACTCTTGGTTCAATTCTCAATACTGAAAAAAAAATGAGGAAGTTGTAATGATATGATGGCTTTCATGCTGCCTTTTAATTTAAATAAAGCTTACTCCAAATTTATGTCCCTTAAAACTACTTCTACTTAGACACTGAAGTAAGGATTCTTTTCCTCCATTTTGCTCCTGTCCATACATAGACGGCTGGATTTTAAACTAACCAACATCTAAGTAACTTCCATTGGTGGGTTTTGTTTTGTTTTTCTGTTTTCCATAATTTATTCACCAACTAACTGCATGCATGCTTTTAAAGAGGTGAAAATGGGGTAGCTTTTTTGTAGGGATCAGATTTCACCAGGCTGTGACCCTCCCCATTCACCCCCTTCCGAGGCCCCCTGTCTGACCTTTCCGCATTAAGCAGTTTGGTCGGCATTCACGGTCTCATAATGGGACCAAATGTCCAGTCAATGGCCCAGTTGAGAATAGAAGTGGACAACGCTCAAGGATTCAATTACCCTGGACGATTTCAAACTTGACATTTCATCTATGGAAATCAACCTCTTTGTGGGTGTCCAAATGGGCCCATAAATGTCACTACACACTGTAAAATACCACAGCATTTCCAAGGTCAAGACGTAGCCATTGAACCTGTACACACAATGCTGAAATACATCACAGCAATGAACACCGGACCAGCCTCGGTCAAAGAGAGCAGTCTCTGAAACGAGGCAAAACGTAATTGGGTTGGGGATCCAGAATGGATTCTGTCACAAGCACATCTCAGACCGGGACAAACTAGGAGCTCTGTTTGAGTTAGAAGAAAGTGACACAATTAAATAAAAAATCAAAGTACGGGAAACATGACTCTTACACACTGAAACACAATTGTCCCTGTGAGGTCCCTGTTTCAAGGGTCCAAAGCCTGGCACTAGATTGTCTGGGAACTTAGAAACTTGCACAATTTAGGGACAGCATCAACTGTGTATTGTATAACCCTGCTGGCAAGGCTGAGCGGCCCCACAAAATTAAACCCATTAATATCTTCATAGAGAAAGTTGGGAATATCCACACCAGCTAGAATAAAGATTCCATAGGGCTACATATCAATTTGGTTCGGGTTTGGTCACCAAATGAGCACCAGTGTCAAACTGAAGAAATATTTTGGGCTTTCGGTGCATCTTGGAGCTTAGAACTCATAAGAGATAGAGGAAATAAAATGCTGCCTTCTGTTATGGTTTGGATTAAAAATGCCCCTCCCCCAAAGGCACATGTGTTCAGAGGTAGAACTTTCCTAAGATGATGAGCTCATAGGTCCACCAGCCCATGAGTGGGTTGTTCCATTGATGGTTCATAGCTGTACGTAGTTAGGTAGTAGGGTCCGGCCGGAGGAAGTAAGTCACTGAGGGCGTGAGTTGGAAGCGTATATTCTCATCCCTGGCCTCTTCTCTCTCCAGCTTTCTTCCCGGATGCCATGAGTTGAGCAACTTTTCTTCACCACATCCTTCTGCTGTGACATTTCTGCCTGATGCCCCCTTGACCATGGATTGAATCATGAACCAAAATAAGCCTTTCCTCCTGTAAGTTGTGTGTGTCAGGCATTTTGTCCCAGTAATGGAAAGATAACTAATACCTCCGTCACAGAAAATACTGGAGTGATGATTTTTCTGTGTTTTCCTATCGTTATGAACATATATTGCAGGATTCTCTTGGTTGCAAGAGAAAGTAAATTAACCCAAACTAGACAACTGGGAAGCTCAAGAGGAAGGTCGCTTCAGGCATGGTTTGATATAGGATTTAAGAGCTGGGCGTGGCGGCACACGCCTGTAATCCCAGCACTCAGGAGGCTGAGGCAGGAGGATCGTTGCGAGTTCAAGACCAGCCTAGCCCACCAAGTGAGTCCAAGGCCAACCTGCACTGCATAGCGAGACCCTGTCTCAAAAAGACTGAATAAAAATAAATAAATAAATGATATAGGATTTAAGCAATATCACCAGGACCCAAGATCTTCCTGCTCCGATTTCCTTCAGGTTGGTCTGACTGTTTTTAAGTATAAGTGATATGGTTCAGCATAGTCACAACAATAAGGACACTGCGTAGATCACAAAGAGGAGGTCCAAAGAAGCTGGGTCCTGGCCTATTCTAACTTAACAATGTTGTCAAAGACCTAGCTGCTTTGTCTTTCCTTCCTTAGCTTTCCCAGGCTCAGCTTCTTCTAAGACTGATTTCCCTCATGGGTGTAGGATGGCATCATCAGCGGTAAGTGCCACAAGCTTTCTTGCTCACCTCTGGCAGGCAGCTCCCCACTACTATCTGGCAAATGTCCCTGGGGGTCTCACTGGCCAAAAATGGATCAAGTCCTTATTATCCAGCCAACCCCTGGATTATCTCCTTCGGTCAACCACGCTGACTTCTTTCTGCACTGCACTATGACTGCTGATAGGAGAGCAGTATAAGGGGCATAGGGGGTCAGCATGGCATCCATGACGACTCCATTCTCATACAAGCCCACTCATGGTCACAAGAGGCTGCAGCAGCTCCTGACTCTCCTTGCTCTCAGAATCAAGCAGAGTGGGGGAAGACCCAAAGACCATTTCCCAGGAGTCTCAAACAGAAGTCTCATTGTGTCTCATTGACTTGGATTGAGTCGACGTGTCCATTCCTGAGCCAGTCAGTGCAGTGGAAGACATGAAGTTTATTGAGGAGCTCAGGCCTAGGACAGAGTGGAGCACAGCACACAGAACACATAGTCAAATAAGAGGAAGGTGTTTGCCTGGAAAGAAATCCCGCGATGGTTTCCAAAAGCAGGGGGGAATGAATGCTGCTGGTGAAGCAATTGATAAAGCAAGCATCCACTGTCAAAACTGACCTGAAAATGAACTCCGGGGCTCCAAGTCATGATAGGCAGCATCCAAAATGAGGTAGGAGTTAGAGAGAGGCCAAGTGAAGGGAAAGCTGTAGAACAAGCATCAAGAAACCAGACAGACTATGACCATGACTATGTCAAAATATCAGAGACCAATAAAGGTTACCCTTCGCCACTGCAAGACCCGAAGTCCACGACCCTGGCCTGCACCCAGTCTCATTTGAATTGTAGTTTTGACCCCCCCCCACACACACACACACACACTAGAAGCTAATGCACCAGGTACACCACGAATGATGTCTCTGCCCTTGCCCAGGCCTCTCAGGATTGTGTCTGCAGCCTGCAGCCTAGAGGGACGAGGAAGGGTCTCGCTCAGGAGCACGTCAGGGCTTGCTACCTGTAGGGAGCTGCTGGTTCCCAAGCCCTGGGCCCTCAGCTGTGACACAAAAACACATTGTTTTCATTATTTTTCTCTTATTGCTGAGACAAAACACCCAACACCCAAAGTTAAAGGGGGAAAGATTTCCTTAGCTCACAGTTTGTGGGGGTTTCCATAGTTGGCCAGCTCCACGGCAGGGTTGCACATGGCAGAGGGGCAACAGTTCACAGCAGAGGGGCAGCAGAAGACAGCAAAAGCAACAAGAGCAAGCCAGAAAGGGAGACAAGCCTCTTTCTGAGCCTTATATTGTATCCAGTCTACTGGGATTAGGGTGGTTCCAATCCAATCAGTGGACAGATCCAGCAGTCACCCACCCTTAATCCCAGCATTGCACTGCAAATCATTCACACACTCTAGATTCAGCCAGCTCCCAGAAAACCCCATGACCACGTGAGGCTTTGAGGGGCCATCTAGACACAAACCATAATGCCCATCGTGCTCCTCCTGGGGCCTGAGGGCAGAGGACTGACACATGCTGGTGCTCCTGCTACTTCCTGTGCCAACAGTAATAACGTCTTTTGTCTCTGACCCAGGAGTCTCTGCCTTTTGGCAGTGCTCAAGACACCGAACAGGTTATTTATGAGTTTATAAGCAAGGCAAAATCCCAGACCAGGCAATACTTCCTTCCCCTTTCACCAGTAAACTCCAAGTCACCTACAGCTCTCAGCTGGTGACCCTTCCCAGGAACCGCTTTCTCTGCCCTGACTCCTCTACGCTATGAGAGCAACAGATGAGCCATTTTACACTGATCTGTGAGGTGTCTGTGACACTATCTACATCCCTAGTAGGTCAGCCTTCCCAGCAGGTTGGGGATCATGCAGGCTTCCTCTCCCGCAGACAGACGAGACACCTAAGCTGATGTCCAGCCCGCCGGTGCTCAGCACTTTTTGAAAGGAGGGAGAGATGCCTGGAGGTGCGGTCAGAGCCGGTCAGCCCAGCGATACCCGCAGCCCAGTATGCTCTGCGCTGTGTACCATCCTGGGAAAATTACAGGCTTCTCCAACACTCACACACAATACTTCCGTGGAAACATATGTGAAGGTTAAGTGTTTAAAATCCTAGTGGTCTCCTTCCAGGCTATTAGGGAGCTTTTCTTCTTAGAAAGTGAAAACATTTCTACACAGTCTCTAATTACCCTTTGCCCTCAGATGTAATAGTGTCATATTTCAGACGATGTCTGTTCTTTAGTGGGTTTTTTTTTTAAGATTTAACTAAAAATCATTAAATTTATCCCTCTTGAGCACGCGCTCCCCGTGTTGTCTGATGACACCAATTCTGGCGGCAGTAGCATTGGTGACAGAGACCTTTGCTTCTTGTCCTTGTGGCCAGCAATTTCCTACTTCTCCTACTCATTTGTATGAAACAGTTATACCAAACATGGGAGCAGAGTCAGACCCTTGGACCACCAAAACCCAAGGAAGCCACCAAGACGGGGCCAGGACCCACTACTGATTCAGAAAGGCCATCACCAACCGTCACCAGATGCAGCCCCTCAACCTTGGCCAAAACTGTGAGGAAAAAAAAGGAAAAGAAAAGAAACTTTTCTTTATAATTTACCCAGTCTGTGTTATTAGCACCAGAAAATGGACCTAGTTACCCTCAAGCACACAACAAAATAGGCCAAGTATAGGGAAAAGGGTATTACCGTCCTATGTATTTGGAAACATGATGTTCCTGCAATATCTTTTGTTTTCCAATTTTCAACAGCAACCCGGGTGTGGAGAAATAAAGTTCCTCTTTGCTTTGAGCAAAACAATAAAAGGCAACTGACAGAATCAAGGTCAAGGATATTTCAAGGAGAGGTGACAACTGTGGAGCCCACATCCTGCTCAAAGGGGGAGATGCTCCCCAACCAGAGGATCACTGCCCCCAGGGCACTGGGTGCCCAATAGCCCGAGCAATTTTTTTTTAAGAAACTGAACGATTTAGATTTTTGAAATGCAAAATACTCCAGTTTTTAAATATTTCTACATTTTTTCGTGTTTGAGCAATTATTAAATACTATGCCAGTTAAAGCAAATATGGCAGCAACCTTGGTTTATCATTTCTAAAATAAACTCAAATTTCCAGCTGTTTTCCTGACATCTCCTCGTGGATGTCTAAAGATGTCTTCGTCACTTTCCTCCTCACTGCTGGGACAAAATACCCGACAACTGCAGTTCAAGGGAGCAGCGGTCTATCTTCACTCTTGTTTCCTTCCGGGGTCTGCCAGCTCCGAAGCTGGACCTCGTGACAGAGGTGCAAGGACGAAGAGAAGGTTCAGGGCGGGGCAGGTGTGAGGCGGACAGGAGGGAGGGGAGGAGCCACGCCCTCAGGCCACACCCACCAGACCCCCTTGCTAGTGGCAAGTCCGCTGTGAGCCGCACCATCCACTCACCTTCCCAAAGGCCCCCTTAGGCGCAGGGGGCTCTTGGGAGACATCCAGATACACACCCAACGAAAGGCCCCTCCAACTTGACGCGTGAAAACGACACGTTTGACTCAAGCAGCGCATCCCCTCCACACAACAGACCTCTGCCCCTCCCCAGTGCTATCTGTGTGACAATGACCAGGGGCACAGCTGGGACAGGAGGCCCTGCTCCTCTCCCCGTGCCTCCCCAACCGTGATTCCCCAGATCCGGCCAGTGTAACCCGCCCTTCGCTCTGTGTCCACCCCACCATCTCTGCTGGTTGAGTGTGACCCCCGGAAGTTCGTGCGCTGGAAGATCGGGCCTCCGTGCGGTGGGATGAGAGGTGGAAGGATCCTACAATGCAGGGAAGGGGTTGGGTCATCGCAGGCACATTCCCTGGAAGAGATTGATATGGTTCTCACTCAGACCCTCCAGAGCTCCCTCAAGAGCAGGTTGTTTATTTTTTAAAATGAGCCTGACCCTTGAATCTCTGACGTCCCCCCTCTCTCCCTGTGCTTTCTCCCTCTCTGTGTTTCTCTTGCGCAGTCTCCCCCATGATGACGCGGAGGGAGACGGTCTCCTTAGAGGCTGAACAACTGGCAGATCTTGGGCCTTCAACTTCTGAAACTATGAACTAAATAAACCTCTTCCCTTTTTTTTTTTTTTTTTTTTCCGGTACCGGGAATCGAACTCATGACCTTGCGCTTGCCAGGCAGGCGCTGTGCTGCTGAGCTAAACCCCAGCCCTAAACCTCTTCTCTTTATTCAGATATTCCATGATAGTCATAGAAAACGAACCAAGACACTAGGAAGGAACAGGCCTTGAAACACACGACGCACACCTTTCTCGGAGGCCGTGGGGCCCTAGACGCTGTCAAACTGTGCATCGACCTGGAAATGCTTGGTCTGGAGGTGACACCTGTCACTCTGCTCTGTCTCCTTCCCCAAAGCAAGTCACCTGACACAGCCTCGCTTTCAGGGCACAGAAAGCGTCGTTCGCATTAGCGATGTCTATCACGGGGACCCTCCCTTCTGCTGTTGCTACATTTTTAGTTTTTCAAGTTAAAGAACCTTTTAAAAACCACCACAACAAGTATCTACTAAATCAGAGGGGGACAAATTACGGTCTACTGGGCAAAGCCAGCCCCAAACCTCTTTCTGTAAATCAGTTTCCTTGGCGCGCAGCCTCGCTGGGTTGTGTGTTTGGTCTCCGTCTGCTGTTGTAACTGTAGCAGCGCAGAGTACAGCCGATCCACCTCGGTGTATTCAGCCAGTTTGGGATCCAAAAATCTTTGAGGAAAAAAAGTGTCTGTACTGAACATGTAAGGACTTCTGATGTTCTTCTCGTTATCCCACAAACAATACAGTAGTACAACAATTTGCATAGCATTTATATTGTAGTCGGTAGTACAAGTCATCTAGAAATGCTTTAAAGTAAATGGGAGGGTGTAGGCTACATGCAAACACCACGCATTTTTATATAAGGGACTTGAGGTCCCCGGATTTTGGCATGATGGTCTGGGAACGAATCTCAGTCACTGAGAGGCGATTGTAACTGCAATAAGGACGACCTGCATGCATAGCAGAAAAATATCTACTGTCTGCCCTTTACAGAAAGGGTTTGCATAGCCCTAAATCATTACCATCACATCATCAATCATCTCCTAAAATGACCACTGACCACTGACAATGGAGAAAGCAAAGCAGAGGGTCAAACCTGACTGATGCAAAAGATGTATCAATGTGCTTCGTACATCCGCAGAAAAGGGTGCTTCTCTAAGGAGATGCCCTGGGGCACAGATGGGGTTGGGGAGCCCCTGGAGTGGGCAGCCCTTTAGGGTACAAACTTAGAAGCTGAGCAGGGAGGTGCTCACAACTGAAGCCCCCCGGCAGGGGCTTTTTGGGGTCTGCAGAAGCAGGTTTACCTGGGGGCAGGGCCATACAGAGGCAGCCGAAGGCTGCTCTGAGCCAACCCCGACACTCCTGATTTGCCAAAAGAAGGTGGAAGTTAGATCATCACCAATTTTGAAATAAAACCAAAATGCACTGTGATGCGCTAATGTCAGGACGGTGGTACCCCCCCCCCAGGGATGGGAATGGGGTTCTAAACAGACAACAGAGGTGCTTCTAAGGCAAACAGGACGCTTCAACTTTATCCGTATTGTTCACTCAATTAGTTTTGTGTAACAAAAAAATGACTGGAAGATTTCCAATTTTCAGTTCTCAGCAATAAGTATGCAATTATAGGTTTTTCTTCCCCATTTCTGAGATGTGTATGAGAATATATGTTACCTACTGCCCACACCAAACTAAACAATGAAGGGCCATGACAGGTCACCTGGTCTCTTGATCACACCTCATGGCCATCCGGTCGTGAGGCCATTTCTTTGTCCGTCCCAGCACCCAGGAACCTGCTTATGGGGATCTTTCCCAGCCTCAGGAAACCTGCTCTGGTGGGATCAGAGATAAAAATAAATCTGCAGAATGTTGGGCCAGAGACGCCAGACACAAAGAGAACACGCTGTATGATTCCATTTATATAAAGTGCAAAGACAGACAAAACGGATCAATGCTGACAGAAGTCAGGGTGGGGAAGGAGAGGCTTGAGGTCACCTTGCTCCCTTCACCCAGACACTGGGGACACAGCTGTGCTCCGGTGCAGAAGACGCAAGCTGGACGTGTATGACTGTACACTTTCCTGCATAGCTTCAGGTTAAGAAGTTTTAAAATAAATCACAAATGCATAAATCTACCTGAGATGTTAATTTCCTGCCAGACCTTGGTGGGGGCTCAGGCCTTGCTTTTAGGTGGTAGAGGCCAGAAATGCATGTGGCTCCAAAAATCTCCACGCTCAGGGTGCCATTCAGATGGACCCCAAATGCTGCTTCTTATGGCTGCTTTTCTGTCCTACAGAAGTATCAGTATAGCTGTCGCTGTGAATCACGGGCACAGAAGCAGAGGGACCACAACCTCCCCTGGCAAAGGAGGTGGTGACAGAATGGGAGAGGATATCTGCCGGCCCCAAATGACCAACGTTGTTCTCAGACTTAGAATCAGAAAAACAAAAATGTAATTGCAAACAGAAAACATTTCTCCCGTGTTATAGAATCCGAAGCACTGAATGTTACTGAGTCCGTGGAAGGCAAGGCAAAACTGGGAGAAGACCAGAGGCAGCCAGGCCGGCCCCCCTCACACACTGCACCCCCACATTCTGGGGTCCTGCAGCACTGGCTCAGGCCTCCGCCCCATTCCCAGGGTGTTGCTGGTCTCTGCAGCAAACAGCAGGCAGGCCAGGGATTATATAAGCTAATTACCTCACTCCTCCCCCTGGTATAGGAAAGGTCAGGTCCCCATAGCCGCACAAACACAAACCCAGCCTAGCACCAACACCAGCCGCCAGGGGAGGGAACGAGAGAGGGGAGGGGTGGGAGAGGAAGGAAAAGAAGAGAAGAAGGAGGGAAAAAGAAAGAGATGGGAGAGGGAGGAAGAGGAATAGAAAAGGGGAGGGAGGTGAGGGAGAAGAAAGAGACAGAGCCGAAGAGGGAGAAAGAAGCACAGAGAAAACAAAGTAAATACACAAAAAGAGCAAAGCAGAAAGGGAGGAAGCGGTGAGGCCTCTGGCTGGGCTCCTGCCTGTACCCCCAGGGCCAGGAGGACCCTGCGGAGCCGGAAAGGAGCGGCTCTGGTTGGAGTCCCAGGTGGTCACTCCTGACCACACCGTGTGGCAGTGCAGGTGCAGAAGCTGCCTTGCGGGTGACAGGCGTCGGTCCTAATCTGCAGCCTCCTGAGGCACAGGGAAGGAGATGCCGATTCCCTGCCGTCCCCACAGCAGGCCGGGAGAGCCGCTCCCTGTCCCAGCTCTTCCCACCAGCATCCCACAGTAAGAAGGGACCCCAGCCCCAACTTCCCAGTGGACACCATTGTCCAGTTCTGCGTCTGTCCCTGACAGAAACGTCCCAGTGACGTCGTCTACTGTCTCCACGTGACAGGATAGACGAGGGGAGCCGTCCGTGCTGGTCTGGTTGCTAGCTGGGTTGACTTGAACTGAACCGGCCATCAGGACCTGGCTGGGCTCAGACACAGGACTAGGCATAAGGCCCTGTACAGAGCTAGCTGTCACTGGAGACCCAAGCTAGGTGCCCTCTGGGAGGTCAGTGTCCCCAGAAGGTAGCTGAGTTGAATGTGAAGGAGTTCTTGGGCCCCCATCCCCTGCCCAAGAGTGGCCCCTGATGGTGGCTCTGAGTCTGCTTCCTGAGTAGTTCATGTCAAGACATACAGTCTCAGAGTGCCAGCCAGTTCCACATTAGTTTCGGAGACCACAGGACCAGCCCAGCCAGCCTCAGTCAAGACAGGGCAGAATCGCTCTCACTGCCACCCTGAACTCCTCAACTTCTATGGATCCTCAGAAGGCCCAACCCAGCCCACTGGGCAGATGCGATATTCCTTCCCAGCCAAAGAGATCCAGTTACTGGCTCCTCCTCCAAGCCTCAGGGGTCCAGCAAGGGCCCAGTGCCCAGTGAGGCAAAGGTCTACAGTCTACGCTGGCCCAACACCATGTAAAGAATAGCTAAGTGAGCACTTGCTGTCCACCAGGTATTCCTCCAGGTGGGTGTGGTTTGACCCTCACTACAGATTGCAGGTGGGCGCTGTTCCTATCCCAAATCCGAAGATGAGGATCCTGAGGCACAGAGAGGCTCAGGGGCTTGCCTAAGGCCCCAGCAAGGTGACCGAGCCTGCTTCAAATCCTGATGTTTTGGTTGTGGCATCTGGACTTTGAGTTGAACGACCTCAGAGGGCAGAGGGCAGAGGCCAGGATGCAGGGCAGGGGGATGTTTGGAGTAGCAGGAGCCTGGGCACCCAGTGCCCAGCCTGGCAGGAGCTCCTGGCATCAGTGCCCATGGATGTACCACTGCAGGAGCTGGGTCATGGACCACTGGCCCAGACCCCTCCACAGCTTGGTGACTCAGTATCTCACCGCCTCAGCCACACCCCTCCAGGCCACCACCCCCTTGAAAATAAAGACCAGGAGTCCCCTGTCCTTAAGCAATTACTTCTCTATTTCACACCAAAAAACCTGGATGGAGGGCCCCGCTACCCTTTGGGAAGGAAATAGGGAAACACATACACTGTGTACACACGCATGCCTGCACGCACCAGCCACAGGTTACTGTCCCCATAAACCAGGTGGACCCCACTGCATTTTGTGAGGATGTGCTGAGGCTCAGGAGCCTGTCAGGCTCAACCCGCCCGCATCCTGCTGGGATGTGCCTCTCCCTTCCAGCGACGGTGGGAGCCTGACATTTAACTCGGAGGAGGTGACCCCCTCCGATGTCTCTGAACTGGGCCTCGATAAATAGCAGTTGCTTCTGAATCCATTCCTCTGAAAGGTCACCAGCCAGACACCCACAGAAAACCCAGCCATCACTGTCGCCCGCCGGCGGCCCCCTGCCATCCTCTTCTCCGCCCACGCCTCCTCCCTGCCTTTGTGCCCTGGAGAGCCAAGAGGGCACCGGTCAGCAACCCCACCCACAGGCCTGTCATCCTCCCAACTCACCCCAGGGGGACACCCTCCTGCTTCTGTCCTTGCCTAGGAGGACACGGGCTCCCAGGTGCCCAACCCCGGCTGCCTGGGCCACACATCCAGGCTTGCCTGCAAGCAGAGGGGCCAGGGTCTTTCCCGCACCTGCATGAGAGCCCCCTCTGCGCTGGGGGAGGAACCCCTTTAAGAAGCAGAGCAAGGCTGGTCACCTCCCTGCCGCACATCCCCCGCATCCTACCTAGGTTTCCAGCAGCAACTGCAGGGTGACTGTCAAAGCCTCGTCCTCCACCAGGGCAGCCACATGGTGCAATGAGCAGGGCTCTGGGCTGGGGCTGGGGCTGGGGCTTTTCCCCTGCTCAGGAAGGAGGGAGGGTGTCAAGGGACCATGGGGGCAGACCTGTAGATACGGGATGGGACAGAGGACGGGGACAAGGCAGGCCAGATTCCAGTGCAACAGAAGCCAGGGGCTTCAGCCATGAGCACAGAAAGACCTCTGCGTTCCCCACCAGGCGGGGAGCCCTGACAGGCCTGGGCAGGAGGACAAGCCTGAGTCTGGTCATCTGTCCACTCCATTCGCTCAGCAAGGGCCCACCTGAGCAGAGTGACGTCTCAGATTGACAGCTGGCCAAGGGCCACACATACCTGACCAAAGAATCGCAAGCTGCCCCTCAGGCCCCAAGGCTAAAGTCTCTGGGAGAGATGGAAAAGGTCCCACTCTGGGGATGGAGCCTCAGGAAGGACCCAAGGAGGCCGCTGCCGATGAGCTGAGAATTGGTGAGGAGACAGGGACTGGCCGGGCGCGGGGTGGACAGTGGGGTCACAGCAGGAGAAGCAGGAAGTTGGGGCAGGTACAGGGCACACTGGGAACATTCAGAGCCCAGGCAGAGCAGGGGCAGGAGCTTGAGCCTGGAGTCCGGGGGCGCTCACCGCCCCAGCCCCGCTGGCTGCTGCGGGACTGTGCCCCCCCGCCTTGGGGACCAGCAGCGGGCGCAGAGCCCATGCCCATAGCGGAGGAGGACAGCTGGCTTTGGGCAGGTGGCTCAACATCCTTGAGCCTCAGTTTCCCCATCAGGGACCTCAGGGGAAGGAAAGGAGCGGCCGGAGGCAACCTGAACTCACTTTCCCAGGGACACTGTGCTCGCTCGCTGTGAGCCTCAAAGTTCTGATTCATCCACAGTAAACCCTTGCGGGAGGAAACATCTGCTCTTCTGGAGCCAAAATCCTTTTGCATCTGTGACTTTGGGACATTTATTTTACTTCTCTTAGGTCTCAATTCTCCTGGGAAATAGGAATAATTTTAAAAATAGTAAAACCTCCCTCGAGGGGTCACACTGGAGATTAAAGGGTGCAAGCAGGCGGAGTTTCCGGGATCTGACGGTCACAGCAGCCACGCGGGGAACCCCTGCCAGACCGCGCCAGAAGGGCCGGTCCGCACCCTTGCCGCGGGGACCGGGCCCGAACGCTGACCACCTCCTGCAGTCACAGGCCTTCTGCCATGAGCTCACCTTAGCTACATTTTCTCAGTGAATTTTTGTGTAAGTGTGCTTCTTTCCCCCCCGAAAGTCTTACATTTTATGGTCTGTCTCTTCAGATTGCGAAATGTAATCCCCCCCCCCCAGTAGAAAATGAGCACAGGATAAAACGCAGGAAGAGGAAAATGCGCTCCCTCCCCTCCTCCGAGCGGCCCCCTTGGGGTGGGAACCTCTCGGGGTGGGGGTGGCTCTGCCCCACACCCTCGGGGAGTGGGGGCCTTCACCTGGCCCTCCTGGGGCCCCTCTGGGGACCCGAACTTCTGGGTTACGGTTAGGGTGGGGTTAGGGTTAGGACTAGGATAGTGCCAGGAGCTCGGCAGGACCAGGGTTGGGGGGTGAGGTTAGAGTTGGGTTAGGGTTCGGGTCCGGGGTCGGGATCGGGTTCGGGATCCGGTTTGGTTAAGGGTCTGGTCCGGGGTCGGGATCGGGTTAGGGATCCGGTTTGGTTAAGGGTTCGGGTCCGGGGTCGGGGTCGGGTTAGGGCTAGGAGAGTGTGAGGAGCCGGGCAGCGCTCTCAGGGCCTGGGCCGGGGACACGCGCCCTGGAGGCGGCGTGGAGAGCACCCTCGCCTGGCGTCGTGCAGAGGACACGGTGCGGGGACCCGCGTCCGGACGCAGAGCGGGAACCGGGCAGAGCCGTGGTCGTGCACCCGGACCCTGCTCGGCGTCCAGGCGGGCTCGCGGGCGCAGCCGTGATCTGCGGGGAAGGGCGTCGAGAGCCGCACGGAGTTCACGTTCAATGCCGTTTGTTTCTTCAGTTCAAATCCGAGAAATACACGCTGCACCCCCGGCCTAGAACTCCCAGCCCGGCCCTCCCCGCCGCCCTCCGGGGAGGAGGCTGGGCCGCGGGGCAGAGCGCTTCCCGCGCGGGGCCGCTGCGCCCCCTGCCGGGCACTGTCGGCTCTGCAGGCCCGAGCGAGCTCCCGAAGGCGGCCGGAGGACCGCGCCACGCGACGGGCTGCCCCCGCTGGGTGGGTCGGTACCGGCTCCGCGCCCTGGTGGCCGCCCAGCAGCGGGGTGAAACGAGGTGGGAGAACGTATGGATGTGTTAAAAAAAATTCCGATAAATAATACTCTACAAATCCAAAACCAGTGCAAACACAGCCATGACGGGCAAAATACTGAAATTTACGCTGAATTTCTGCTTTGTCCTTTTGCCGCGGGCCCCAGGGTGGCTCGGCACAGCACTGAAACACATCCTTCTTTACTTAAAGCTTTAACGTTATTGTTGTTTTTTGTTGTTGTTACTTTTGATTTTTTTTTAATTGCGTCAAAATTCCATTTACCTTGATTACTGGTATAGTGTGGGTTCGGGGTGGATTTTTTGTTTCGGTTTTTATTTTGCTGTTTGGGTTGGGGTTTGGGTTCTGGTTTGGTTTGGTTTTTTGTTTGTTTTGTCTTGTTTGCACGGGAGTCACGGGCTTCACAGGACTGAGTCCTGGTCATGGGGCCCGCCTCTCTTTCCTGCGCCCGCTCCCTGGCGGGCGGCCGCTCCCGGGGCTGTTGGCCTCTTAACCTGGCCGGATCCCACCTCCTGTCTTTTCTGTTTGTCCCGGGTGAGAGGACGGAACAGGCAAGGAAAAAGACTCCCCCGACCCGAGGAAAGCACAGCCTGGCCGCCCACAGCACACCCCCTCCCCACGCAGACAGTGAGGTCACAGGACCCCGAGTTTGTGACCCGGCTGACAGCACCAGCGTGTGGCAGCGGCTGCTGCTCTTTGAGGAGTGCAGGACCCCGGGATGGCCCGAGACAGGGGGACAGGGCAGGGACGGCCCTCCTCACCCTTGGGCCCTGTGTGAGTCCCCTGCAGCTGCTGTGACAGAGGACTACAGAGAGGGCGGCTGCAAGCGTCACTCCTTGGCTTGATTTCCTCACCGCCTGGAGATGTGAATCAGAAACCCCCGTCCCCCCGGGCCGTGCGCCTTCCGGCCTCTTCTAGATTCCGGGGTCTCCAGAATCTGCCGTGGGGCACCTCACCCCCTCTTCGGGGTCTCAAGTCTTTCTGCCTCCCTCCCTTTTAAGGACACTTGCGACCGCACCACATTCACAGTCCGTGACTTAATCACACGTGGCCCTTTCCCAAGTAAGGAGCCTGGGGCCTGAGACCTCCCACCGCCCTGCAACATGCCCGCGGCTCTCCGGGACAGGAACGGGACAACGCCTAACCCAGGTGAGAGTCCAGCTGCGGACACCCGCCGCTCCCTCACTCTGCAGGCCCTGGGAGCCTCAGTTTCTTCCCTGTATGGCGAGAATGCGGCTCATGTCGCACAGGCTCCTGGGTGTACACGTTCACACTGGCAGGTCCATGACGGACACTCCTCTAACAGGGTGATCCCCCTCACGGCATCACAACTGAGGGCACAGGTCAGGTCTTAGCGCCACGTCTCCATGCTCCTCGTGCCAGCGCTTTGGCCCTGACCTTTGACATCGCTGAGTCTCAGTTGCTGGGCTGTGAAATGGGGCGATGTCCGTGCTCTGAAACATTGGTTGGAAGGATTAAATGAGATGGTGTGGGTAGAAAGGCTAGCTCCTGTCGAAGTGCTTGCACCCTACAGTTCAGAGCAGGAGGTGACCTCTGGGAGCGACAGGACCCCTGTGGTCTGGTCCTCTCCTCCCTGGACTTCAGCTCCCCCAGCCCCTACCAAGTGCCACCGTACCTTCCAGACAGGAGACGTGTGGCACTGTCCCGCGGCCGGCTGTCACTGCACGTGACTTCTGGTGACAGGAGCTAGCCCCACAGGCTGCCCACACATGCTTGGTGGCTGACGATCCCTGCAGACGGGGTCACAGCTTTGGCATGCGTAACGGGCCACATATATTCCCACATCTTATTTGTATTTATCATTAACTGCTAATTATATGGGCCAGCCCTTGTCACTTAGGGAAGCACATAAATTATCTCTAAACCATTTGTGCGGAGCTGATTGCCAAAGAAAAGAGTCAACAGGCCCATCTGGTTGGGACCGCAGCGGCCAGTGCCGTCACGGAACTCAGCGAAGCCCCAGCGTCCCGAGGCTGCGCGGCAGCGCCTGAGCACCGGAGGCCAGGTGGGCAGATCAGCAGGTGGCGGCTGAGACAGGCCACAGAGATCGCTAAGGCACAGGGCGCTCCAGGGTCAGGGCAGCAGCTGGGCTCCACAGGAGCCCTGCACGGTATCTGTGACCAAAAGGGGAGTGAGCAAAGCCAAGCCCCGTGGTGCACCCTGGGGTTCCAGCTACTCGGGAGGCTGAGGCAGGAGGATCACTTGAGCCCAGAAGTTCAAGATCAGCCTGGGCAACAGAGTGAGACCCATCTCTAAAAAAAAAAAGTAGCTTCCATTTAACAATGAACTATTAAACTCACTGTAGCACCTCTGTGACTCACTCCCATCTGGGTACGGCAGAGTGAGTTTATCAGTTCGCTATTAAAGGGAGTCTATTTTTTTTTTCTGGAGATGGCTCTCACCATTGGCACTGGGCCTGAGTGTGTCACTGGGTGAACGTTGCGGGAGACACTTGGCACAGCCCCTACACTCTTCCTGGACCCACGTGCCCGCCACTCTTCCTGCCCAGAGAGCAGAGAACAAGGTGCCAGGATATGAACCCAGTCATGAATGTGGAGGAAGGCAAGGGGCCACAGAAAATGACCGCGCTGGTCCTCGACCCAGAGGTGCATGGTGATGCAACCAGGGAACAAGATGCAGGCGGATGCGGAGAGCAGCAGACAGACGCAGCGAGGACCGAGGGGCAGCTGCACGGGGAAGCAGGAGGCCCCGGACTTGGGCCGCTCACTGTAAAACAGAGGCAGCTTACTGTACAGGACGGCAGCCGGCACCTGGTGCCTCTGGGAGGGAAGCTCAGCACCTGGAGGCCCCTCTGGGCTTAGAGCAGCACATTCAGCACCTCAGGTACTGTTCGACCCACTTGGCAGGAGGCCCAGGAGGCCCAGGAGGCCCAGGACCAGGAGGCTCTGAGGCAGGCAACTGCTCCCAGTTTGAGCCAGGGCACCGGAAGATTCCATGGAACCAGACGCAGAGAAAGATGCTGTGCAGAGAGACGGATACATGATCTCCATCCTGTGCGGACTCTAAATAGACCCAGGGAAGTACAGAGTAGAAGGTTGGTGGCCAGGACTGGGCACAGGAGGAAGGAAGCTTGATGGGTACAGAGTCATGGGGCAGGGTGCATCCTGGTGTCCGCCTGCACAGGAGGGTGCCTGGCGCTAACTACAAGGATGGCATCCCAGTGGAGCTGGAGGAGAGGGTTTCAAAGTTCTCACCACAGAGAAGTGGGGAGTGTTTGGGGGGTAGGTGTGACAACGACCCTTATCTGATCGCTTGCACACATTACATGTTTACCAAAACATCACCCTGTGCCCCATGAATACGTACAATCATCTCATGCAAATTAAAAATAAGGCTTTTTAACTGTTTTAAAAAAGAAAGGGATGCTGTGGGCGATCCGTGGTAAGCGCCTGCTGGAAGCTGGTGATGCAGCCCGCTGGGCAGCAGAGTGAGGCTGTGGCCCAGGCAGCAGAGACGGACGCAGAGCAGCCGCTCCCCATATGCTGACGCCTCTGGCAGGACCGTGCCTCTGAGCCTGGGGCACCAGGGGGCCACGTGGCCAGAAGCGCCTGTTCCCGGCTGGTGCCAGGCCCCCCAAACTGTAAAGGCAGATGAGTGTAGCAGAGCCCCACTGCAGGATACAAGATACCCACAGAATCGGGCCTGTCAGGGTCAGAGGTCACAAGGGTGTGTGTAAGACTGTCATTACCCGGCACCATTGCACCAGGATAGGGATAACTGGCCGCCTGCCTACAGGGGGTGGGGTGCTGGCCCCTGAGGGAGGAACGAATGGTACCCAAAGGCCCACCAGAGCCACCCTTGGTGCTCGACTAGAGCCCCGTACAAAGTACCTCATGAGCTCAGATGCACCCCAAATACTTTCTCCAGCACAAGGCTGTGCCGGAGAGATGTAGGGCTGCGTGTGCCTCAGAAGGGGGAAGGACGTCCCAGTAAGCGCCACCCTGGGAGGTTGACCTTGATGCTGTCAACAACCAGTAAGAAAGAAGCCCCCGATCTGTTACCTGGGAGCACCCGGTGCCCACTATAAACAAGTATGTGTGGCAGAATTCTAAGATGGCTCGAGGCTCCTGCCCCTGGTGTCCAGGCTTCCTCGTGCCCCTTCCCTGGAGTGTGAGTGGCACGTGGACCTTGCTTCCAGGAGTCGGCAGAGCTGAGGGATCCCACTCTGATCGGGTCTGACACACGGCAAAGGTGAGGGGACTTTGCAGACGTATTTAAGGTCCCTAATCAGTTGACTCTGAGTTTACAGAGAGCAGATCATCCGTCCTGAGCTGGGTGAGTCCGGCAGCCTTCAGAGAGGGGGTTTAGCGGTGAGCCCGGCTCTTCTTAGAGAAGTAAGCCGTCTGAACTCAGCGGCCACAAGGTGAATTTTGCCATTGACCTCAGGCAGCTTGGAAGCAAACTGCCCCCTGGTGGAGCCCGCTGGGGAGACCACCACCTACTGACCCTGCGCTTGGGTCTCCGAGACCGTGCCCGGGCTCTGACCTCAGAACTGTGAACTAATAAATGGGTGTTGTTTTAAGCCACTAATTTTGCACTCATTTGTTCCACAGCAATAGAGGCTGATATAATGAGCCTATTAAAATCTCTTTAAAATGCAATAAAGTAAGTGATTGCCCTGTGAAGATCACTGACTTCTACCTACAGGACAAATGGGGAGAACTGTCCTAACATCAAGCAAATGTGCCTCCCCATAAAACACTCCGTGACAGCCTTGCGGGGAGTTTGAAAAGCGCTGTGTCTCCTATAACCCTGGTGGGACTGAAGGTGCCGGGCTGTGGAAAACATCCCTTGCACCCTCGAGGGGCCAGTGGTGACCAGGGTGCCGGACAAGGCCCAGTGAAGAGGCCACACGAACCCGACTGGTGAAATGTGTAGGAGGGAACCGGCGGTAGCTCCAGTGTTGCCCCTGGGGTCAGGTAGTGTGCGATGTTACACACATGCGTGTGACTAGGTAGGTAAACGTTTCGAACAGAACACCTGACCCTTTTATTTACGTGGCTCTTCATTTTTAGATCTTATCAGGAAGGTGGGGAGAATCGCTTCCTGCTCGATGGTGGTCTTCCTAGCTCAGGCCGTACTCATCAATGAATTCATGGACGGCCGCTGCCAGACAGGAGGCAGAGTTAGGACACAGGGTGTAAAGGTCACAAAAGAGATCGGGGAGCCAGGACACAAAGGAATCATACTCCACCCTGAGACCCAACTTTTAAGACTTTGCTAGAAAACATGCAGAGAAGTTTCCAGGACCCCAGGAACCAACAGGTGTCAGAGATCAAGGTGACCCTGAGGCGCTGTACAGGCCCAAGTGTTGGCCCAGACCCCACCACTGAAATCACAGGTGGCCACCAGCAGTAAGGCCCCTGAGACTCCCCCAAACCTACCACTTTAAGTGTGAAAGCTTACACCTTTTCCCCTACACCACCCCAAACTCCTCACTTCCCAGCAATAATAACTTGGCTTTCAGCACAGCTTCGGTTGTGCTAATGGAAAAAAAAATATATCCTTCAGCTAAAGCTTTTAATGACCAGCCATACGGATCTCATTCCCCAGGCTATGGGGCAATGGATCGTGTCCATTTCCTGTGCCCAGGGATATTTGGGGTAATGTGTCCCAAAAACCTAATGTCCAATCTCTAATGGCAGAAAAAAGCCATTTGGAGGCCACACTTCGAGTTAATACTATGAACTCATTTAGTGCATAGATCACTAAAAGCAAAAATGTAGTAGCTAGGAAATTACTGTCAAATTCTACCTTTTTTCATATTATTTTGTTTTGCTTTAAGTCCCTTATATCACAAGAACTGTGAGAGTTCTCAAAGTTAAGTAAAAGTTACAGGTCAAATCTGGTTTCTCAACTAGGTCAGTCTGGTAAAGAGATTTGGGTTTTTTAATTACAGAAGAAAATAATGAATGGAAATACATATTCTCCCTGCTCAACACTCTTTCGTTCAGGAAACCGCCTCCTTCTCCTGGGATCTGCAGTCATATGTCAGTCATGGCACCTCCAACACATACATAGGGCCAAGCCATGAGCCAGGCTAACCAATCAGAATGCTCCATCCGACTGAGGCACAGGGATTGGGTCTCAAATTGACATGTGACCCAAACAGACCAATCAGGGACTTTCCTGAGATTTTTTTTTTTTTTTTTTTTTTTT